TGGCATGGTGAACGGTATCATTGAACCATTTATTCTCCCAAATCGATTGGACGGGATGCAATACCTAGACTTTTTACGCAACATTTTGCCTTCCTTGTTTGCCTGCGTCTGCTCGGTAGCGCATCAGCTGATTTCATTTTCTGTTGGATCGGTATGATTTCGGGCAGAGATGTACTTAGCCCTTCTCGTCAACTGGAGAGTGAGTACTTTTTCCTTTATTTTTTTTTTACTTGGTCGCCCTCGTTTCACTACACATTACCTTTGTTATTTCAAGGATAGTTGTTTCTGAAAAGGAAAACCCCAACTTTGCGGACATCGCGTCCCTGGGTTGAAATTAATAATGAAAAAATATATACAATCAAATCTGTTCATATTCTTATAAATTGAATACTACTTAAATATTTGGTATGGGTTGTATAATCAAGCTTTCATTGCGAAAAGATAAATATGCATATAAAAAAATCTGTTTAAACTAAATTGAAATATTTCCCTCACCCATTATAAATATTCGATTTGTGGTCACACCATTTGATATTTTTTAACGGAGCTGTTATGTTTTTAAAACTTGGCAATACTGCTAATAATGTCAACGTGGCGGAATTTCTTGATAGTGAAAAGAGGTGCTGCAAAAGAGTTTTGTATTTCAATAATTAGAACATTACATTTCTCTGTGTCATTACCTCATTGTTTATATTAACAGGTAAGTCATTATACTGTTCGAATGTTTTAATGATTTTTTTTTGTTTTGGGGAGCAAAATGCATTCACAAAACGCTAAATCAATTTGAGGTGATGTACTGTTGGTCGTTTATGCAAATCCGACACGGTCATTCTCTCACTAGATTAGAAAATGAGGCAATGAAAATTATATGAGAGAATGATTTTTGCATATATAAAATTGTGGTTTGGGTGCTATTGTTTAACTCCAGGTTGTATCTTCAATTTTAACAGATAGCCTTATATCAAGAATGGAGAAAATGTTAAGTGAAGAAGAAAAGAAATTCAAAAAGGAGTACGACAGAAAGAGGCGAGAACAAATGAAAATTAATGCTGAGTCTTTAGAAGCTCTGCGTGAAAAGGAAAGATTAAAGTATTTAAAGAAGAAGTCAAGTTAAGTCAATAAGTTCTATGAGTGCAAGAGAAACTAGCCAAAAAAAAATACTTTAAAAAGAATAGTAAAGTTTATAGGAAAAAGCGAGTTACATTACAAACAAATTGACAGAGGATAGTTGAAGAAATACCCCGACCATGTCCTGCACCATCTTTACAGCATAGAGCAGAGGATTTGTCTACTCTCAATAGACCTAAAAAGCGCAAGCGGCGTACTATTCTGTACGCGAAGAATAGAAGTTTGGAAAATAAAGTAAGGAACGCAGTCAAGCTTAGCGAAAAATATAAGAAGATGTGTTTGAGATTGAAAACTAAAAATACTGACCCAAACTCTCCAGCAACTAAAGCGTCTTCGCCTGTAAAGAATATACAAGTTCCTGACGTTGCAAGAAAAAGACTCATCTTCGGAGAAGCACTGTAAACATGGAGAAAACATAAAATATTACAAAAGTTGAAGCTGCAATTAGTATGTACAAAGGATACACATTGCTATATAGATCGAAATATTTTTCGAAAAACGATACGTACAAAAAGAACTGTACTCGTAGAGTTAGCTCCAAAATGCGGAGAGTTAAGGGTGATGTTGTTCATTTCTTAGAGAAGGATGAAAATACGAGGTTGTGCCCAGGGAAGGATGACGATCTAAGCTCTCTAAAGCATAAAACAAATCTCAATACATCTACGAATAAATCATCATTCCCTCATTTCATAGTTTTTTAAAAGTCATTTTTCTACATGTTATACACAAAAATATGGTGGACCTGCATTTTAAATGAACCTCACTAAAGTAAAAAATTTATATCTCTGCAAAAAAGGATATATTTTAATTATTTCTTTTTTTTTAAGAAATGCAAATTGAAATTTCTAAATTTATTGAAAAATACCCAAGATATTGCGGGTATATATACTAAGTGACATATAAATCCGAACACCCAGTTTAAATGGTTTTATTTTAATAAAATTTTGTATAAGTACTTAATGAAGCATAATAAGTAAATGATAAAAATTTCAAAATGATTGCGCTGCTTTAAAGCCCTTTGACCTTTAATAATGTGCGGATGCACCCTGATGTGCTACGCATTCTCCAACGCGCCTAGGCATGCTTCTGATCAGGTGGTCAATCTCCTCCTGTGGTATCTCATTCCAGGCAACCACCAACTCCTCTCGAAGTGCTTCTAGAGTCTGAGGAGGACGTTGCAAATTGAGCAATCTCCTACCCATCATATCCCACACGTGCTCAATTGGGGATAAGTCGGGAGATCTTGGTGGCCATGGTAACAATGTGACATCATTATGTTGAAAGAAGTTTATTGTGACTCTTGCAACATGCGGTCGGGCATTATATTGTTGGAAAGTTGGATCTGCCAGGGTGTCAAGATAGGGTAAAAGATGGGTTTCTAGAACTTCGCGGATATTACGCTGCGCGTTCATGTTACCTCTGATGAAGATTAAAGGTGACCTGGAACCATAAGCTATAGCACCCCAAACTATAACTCCAACAGTGTGATGAACATGTCTTTCAACAAAAAACTGTGGATTCCTCCTTTCACCACGTCGCCTTCTAACCCTGGCACGACCATCGTGCATGCCTAAACAAAATCGAGACTCGTCACTAAAGACAATACTGTTCCATTCCTGATCCCAGAGCGACCGTTGTCTGCACCACTCAAGGCGATTACGTCGGTGTTCTCGAGTTAAAGGGAGGACCCAGTGTGGCCGGTATGAAAACAAGCCAAAACTTCTCATTCGTCGGTAACCACTTCGCATGCCAATAGGTCTTCCGTGTTCTGCAAACCATTCATTTGCAATGGACCTGGTAGTGGAAAAACGGTCCCTTAAGGCCAATAATCTTAGGCGGTTATCTTCACGGTCTGTTGTTCTACGGCGGCGTCCAGTGCCCCTTGCTCTTTGCGTACGGCCTTCTCGAAGCCATTCCTGACAACACCTAACCATAGTGTCTACACTTCTTTGCACTCTAACTGCAATTGCCCGAAAAGAAAGTCCAGCTTCCCGAAGTCCCACTATACGGCCCCTATCAAACTCACTAAGTTGACGAAATCGTACAGGTCTCCGTACTCTAGGCATCTTAACCGATCGTAAAGGATGTCAAGAACCAAAATCCGCCAACGTTGATTCTTTACTGCGGCTGAAATATTCATTTTTAGAGCGTTAGTGAATTAAAAAAAGCAGTATAAAAACCGGAATGTCCAACTGATAAGGCTGAACATTTTTCACTTGTTATTTACAGTAAGATAAATACATTCACCAACTGTTATTAAAATAAAACCATTTAAACTGGGTGTTCGGATTTATATGTCACTTAGTATATAAACACCCACCATATTGGATAAAAAACAAACAGTTCTATATTAAAGACAGAAAATTAATGTAATTGTGTACAAATGTAGGATTCAGAATAAAATTTGCTCGGCAACAGTCAAGCATCATGTTATAAATACCTGTGTATGAAAATGACAATGGACAATTTCAGTAAGCAAGATGAATGTACTGAAAACGTACGTATTGTCTATGCAATGCGTAAAAAATAGTTTGATTTCAATAAAGTAAAAAAATTATGTAACCGAATAGTTGACGAAAATTGTACCATGCGCTGGCGTAAAGGTTCTTTAGCAGCTGCGAGACTTCTTACACATTTGATGTTTGCAGCCCTTATATAAACTTTTAAGAAACTAAAGGTGTGCCCATTCTGCTTGCATAGCTGTTCTAAAAACGTCTTGCCAATGATCTTGCAACATACAGACCTAAGTAATGAATGCTGTTCAAATGCTCTTGCAACCCTGATAATTGTTAGGTGCATAGTTATTTCGTCCACCTCTATCAGATACATTACTAAATAGGCAATGCTTTTCAAATACAGCAAAACATTAGGCAAATGGATCTGCCACAAACACGTTGACCTCTATAAACGGATTTGTTTGTGAGTTTGTGTATTCGGAATTGCAGATTATCCTATATTTGGAACACCATGCTTGGTATAAAATACCGTGTACATGCGTGAGTGGAATCTATAGAGATACGTGGAAATGTTTGCCGGTTCGGGCACGTAGGTGTATATACCTATAGGTGCAAAATGCATGTAGATTAAAATGCACAATCGCCCGTTTATTAACCCCTAGGTGGTTTTCGGACGATGAAATTAATCCCAGGCTAATTTAATTATACACTCGAGGCTAAGTCTTATAAGGACCTTTTACAGAGTGAGTATGTTATGTGGAGATATTTACTTCTTAGCCTAAGCAAATAACTCAGCTTTTACTCAGAAGCTGCCACCATGAATGAACAATGCGGTCCTTGTTAGTCAAGGTACAGTAATGTGTTTTGGATGCATTCAACTGTACCAGATTGTTGCGTCCCCAAACAGATACCTTTTAGGTATCTCGTCAAAGAGGAAGTCGCTGACAGTCTTCTTTTCTCCAGCTCACTGACAGAGATCGGCTTGTCACAAAGCTGTGGATCGGATTAATCGTAAAGGAAAGCAGGTCGTTAACCCTTTCGGTACCGCTGACGGCAAGTTCCGACAGGAAGAAACTTGTCCCTAGGTCCAGTGTCGGCTGTATACGACAGGGGTGAAACAAACTGGTAAAACCAATGTCGATCATTTACGACACCTTTAAAAATTAAACTTCTCACAGGGACCAGTGTCGGCTAAATCCGCTCAGCACTGCATTTCCCCACAGACCAATGGCTTGAGAATCCGACACTGTCGAACATGGGCGACGGTGGACGCTCGGGGGAGTTCGGCGTCGAACACGTGGAGCAGGCAAATCTACTTATTATGACTGGTTTGAAACAGTTTCGTGTTGTTATTGGGACATTGTAGACATAGTTAGTTTGTGTTTGACTCTTGTGTTGTTCTGTTCATTGTGCGAGATGGATAACGCTGAACCCAGTACATCTGACGGTCGAAAAGGACGAAATAAGCGTAAAAGTGATAATGCAGGTGCGGGCTATTGTGGGCTGACTCCGGAGGAAGTCCGAAATCTTTCACAATATCTTATGAGCTCCGATGAGGATGAGCCCGAAGATCCCTTTGCTGACAGTGGAAGCGAGTTTATTCCCAGCTCGGAAGGTGAACCTTCAGAGGACGACTACTTGCAAGTGTCTGAAGGTGAAGACAACAAGCATGATTCATCTCAAACGCCGGTCTTGGAACCTGAGACAGCAATGGACGAGAGAATGGATATTATTAGAGAACGTACGAGGTTAGAAATAAAATGGACGGACAAAGAGTTTATTCCGCAAGTTTTTGCATTTGATAGTACTAATAGCGGATTAAGAAATGTTAGTTTAAATGATCAAAGCAGTGAAGTAGATTTCTTTTTGAGTCTTTTATCTGAAATATTATGAACGTCATTGCCATCGAAACAAATAGGTATGCCATTCAAAGAGATGCACCTAAGTGGAAAAGCGTTGACATTCCTGAACTTTACGCATTTTTCGCTGTAACTCTGCTTATGAAATATCAAAGAGTACTGGACCCAAGATATCTTACTCAGCACTCCCGTTTTTGGACAGACTATGTCAAGAAACAGATATTGCGAGATACATCGCTATCTTCATTTCGCTAATAATGAGGAGGTAAAGCCTCACAATCGATTGGGGAAATTTGGAAATATTTTGACCGTTCTAAAAGAGAATTTCAAATCCCAGTTTTATCCTTTCGAACATTTGGTTATTGATGAAAGTATGGTCCTTTTCAAAGGTCGCCTCAGTTTTCGTCAATACATCAAAACAAAAAGACATAGGTTCGGAATCAAACTGTATGTCTTGTGTGATTGTGAGACTGGCATCGTCTTGGATTTTATAGTGTACGTAGGCAAAGGCACATAAGAAGATACTCGTGGATTGGGTGCTACAGGTGAAATTGTCAGTAATCTATTACAACCATACATGAACAAGGGTCATTCTCTTTTTACTGACAACTTTTGTACCAGTCCAACTTTGTCAACATTTCTATTTGAAAATAAAACCAATTCATGTGGGACCGTGAAACAAAATAGGAAAGAAATGCCAATTTTAGACAAAAAAACTTAACGAGGGGTGAATGTGATTGGAGAAGCAGTGAAAACATGTTGGTGGTTAAATGGAAAGATCGGCGAGATGTCACTATGCTGACTACACTACATGAGAATAAAATGGTCAGTCTTCCAAGGAAGGATAGGGTCACAAATGAAAACCTTCAGAAGCCATTATGTGTCTTGGAATATAACAAGCAAATGAGAGCTGTCGACCGAAGTGATATGATGATCAGCAGCATTGATTCAACGCGCAAAAGCATGAAATGGTATAAAAAACTATTTTTTCATACCATGGATATATGCTTATTGAATGCTCATGCCATGTATTTGACACAGAATCCAGCAAAAGTTCCACTGGCCACATTTCAACTTGCAGTGATTAGGCAGTTGTTGGAAAGGTACCTATATATATATATATATATATATATTTCTTTTTGTCTAAAAATAGTTCTATATTTCGATTTTTGCAGGTTTCAAGAAACAGCTTCGAGATCTGTTCACCTGGATCTTGGAAATAAAAGACTCACACCAAGACATTTTCCCGATCTGGTTACAGTCAAGGAAGGCAGCAAATCGGCCTACAGGAGATGCTATGTATGTTCCCACAGCAAACAAAAACCTAAGAAAAGAAAAGAAACCAAATATATGTGTAAGGAATGCGATGTTGGGTTGTGTCCAGCTCCATGCTTCAAAATATATCATGAAGAAAATCACTGCTGAAGTAAAATGTCTTTCGAGTTTTTTTGATACGATGTGCTGTTATTTTTGTTTTTTTGTCTTTAGGTATTAGTTCTAGGGCTTCAATTTTAGTTTTGATTGACCTTCTTTAGTTCTATTTACTGCTATTTGTGTTTCTAAGTATGCTTTAATAGAATAAAAAAAGAATTATACTGTTTTATGATTTCGTCGGATATAGCCGTCACCGGGTCATATGACCATCCAAAAATTCTGGTCCAGCAGGCATGTTTTTTCGTGGACGCGTCAGTCCTGAAAGGGTTAATATGTAGCAGGAACAATTTTGGAGCCAACACCCATCCCTGGGGAACACCCGCGTAGACGTTGCTGGATGAAGAGAGAGAAATACAGCCACCTATCTGGAAAACCTATCTGGGAGGCCATAGGATGGAAGTGTGCATAAGATTTAGTATGGCTGTGGATTTTTACGAACTATCAAAAATATAATCTGAAAAATTATAGGAATTTGATAATTTACACCTCCTCAGTTTGGATCAACGCCTAAGCTTTGCAGGAGGATTCATTCACAAATAGGAAAAAGACACGTCACAAAAAGCCCATATCAAGGTGTGGCATAAAAATAACTAAAAAAGACGTAGCTGATATGTATCAGCAGCAGCGTATCCAGCCGTATATTGTATTAGCTAGGCACACCCATTCATCATTTGACTGCGGCAACCTTCCTATTATATCTTTTAGGCCGATATTATTATACACGGAATATCGATTTTCACGTCAGTTACAGCGTTACACCCGCAGCGTAAAAATGTTAACCAAGGTATACTAAGATAGACTTTATTAGGTCATTTGCATATATAAGGTGGTTAAAAAAAGCAGAAAACATATCCGAAGGTAACAAAGCTCTTAGCTAGTGTAATTACTCTCTACCACAATACAGGGTTTTGTGAATTTTTCCATCGCTGATCATTAGGAGTTTTAATTGAGAAAAATTCGTAACTTTAGCGTATCTTCAATGTATGGGCATAAGCTACCTTTTAATTCAATTTTACTTATAAGAACATTCATATAGGATGATTATTTTTACGACTATGACAAGCGCAATTTTAACAAAATGCAGCATGACTACACGACACTTCAGCCGTAGAATAATACCATTTAAATGCAAAACGAGACCATCCTTTAGATATGAATATAAAATGTGCAATCTCATAAAGGACCATACTTACTCTAAAATGTTTCTGTCCGTGTCTTAAAATTATACCGTATGTATCGTCACTACTACCTTTAAATAATATGGAAATGTTAGCATCCCCTATCGAAAAACTGTAGGAAGGAATACTTTTTTAGACATTTGTTATATTATTTAAGTTATATAATATCACAATATACATTTTTAAAATCGGATGGAGTCAGTTTGCTTATGCCAACTTCATAAAAACTGAAGGCATGGTTGGATGTAGAAGGACAGGCAGTAGCGGGGTGTAATGCTAGACGTTATGAGTCGCCGTGCATTGCGCGGGTCCGAATCCCGTCCCAATAGAATTTTTACCTTGATCATGGATCTTGTCATTGTCCGTAGGTGGTAGATGTTGCATGCACACGTGTTCCCTCGCTAGAGTCTGTGTGTGACGTCTCCTATGCCCCACGGTACCTTAGGTGTTTAAGCTTGCGAGTTGATTCCGGTAAAAAAAGAAAACGAAACGAAACGTCACATTTGAATTATAGTAGTTTCCGAAAATACTTTGAGAAACTTTCCAAGTGCCTTTTTTCTTATCCAAATACACAACTTTCCCCCATTTAACCGACTTTGCGTCTCTTAGGGCCAATTTCACCAACAACAGACCGTTATTCTCCACCTGTAGGGTATCATACCGTCAAATACAACGAATGAGCTTGATGTTCCAATCAACAAATTTTAGCAACCAAGCTATGAAATGTAGAAAACAAAATACTGTCAAAGTATGAGATGACAGCTTGTCATTGAAACATCACCAGCTTATTGAATATTAAGAAATTACATAAAATTCAGTCAAAGTTTAAAGAAATGCTGGATTTTTTAATAAAATTCATGTTTTAATTACTATTGTTGATTTTTTATTCATGTTTATATTATTTTCTTCAATTGATATACGATACTGGGTGTTTTTTCCCATAAACCTCTTGCAGATAGCCATTAAGCACCTACTTGATGACAGGCTCTACCAAAAGATATTGCTCGTTTCCAAACATTCATTCATTTACTTGCCGTTCATCATAACTATTATGGCACCTTAGATTGATATTCCCACAAAACCATTCAGGTTTTTTGATATCCATACATCCAGAAAGTTGAATACTTATTTTTCGTTGTTCAGGAACTGAATAAACATCCACACTATAATCACAGCGATTAAGAAATTCCCAAATATATGCCTTAAAGCTACCAGCAAACCTAAAACCTGCAAAAAAGCACAAATTTGCCATATTTTTATTTTTTCACCAGTACACATTCTAGGTTATATTTATATTAGACATTATTTGAATACAGCTGATTATTGTATTTCAAGACTCCCCGAGTGACACATGTGTGGGATCTGTCAACTGTTGATACCAGTCACAAAACATATACTCTGAAGGCTTAGTTCCATGCTATTCAATGACAAAACGGTGACTTATGTGGTTGTCAGCGGTCATTTTGTTAGGGTGCGACAGGGTTGCCAGATTGTGCATTAATATCCCGTTTCACCCTCCTGGTCCCAGTGGAGTAAGTTCCGCCAACTGTTGAAATATACTCTACTATGCTTTATAAGACTATTCGTGACATTTTTCTCAAAATCGTTGCACAACAATGGAAAAAATGCAAATGAAAATTTAAAATTATTTCCAAGACGCCGCAAAATAGCTCCGTCGGTACCTTGGGTTATACATCTTGACAGTAGGGATGTTCAATACGATCCTATATTCAGAAGTATCAATACATTTCAGGAGTATCGTCATCTTTCGATCCGCACTGAGTCAGAAAGAGTGACTGATTTGGCTGCGACATTAGCCTGCCAAATCAGATATATCTTTGATATTTTCAAAGAAATTGTACAAAATCTTCAAACTTGTGAAGTTAGCGAGTTTCACTTCATACGTTGTTACCAGACATGCCCAAATCATCAGTTGCTGCCGTGATATTCATCCCGACCACTGCATCCCCACGGCTAGGCGACCTGTATGTTAAATTTGTTTTGATAGGGCAGCGGGTTATGCCATAAATCATTTGTCACAGTGTTTGTGCACTGATTGCAACGGTTAGATGGTACCAAAAATATTTTCGTTAATAGGAGTTCTTTCCCATTCCGGATCGAACAATCTACCAAAGATGCTTATAATTATGATACCTAGTAAATTTTCACGAGAAAAATTCAAAACCAGCAAATGTAAAAGATTCATTTCGCACCCATCACCACGGGACGTGATCGTCGTTAGACTTGGCAACCCTGCTAGTGACAGATAGATATCCCCGCCAGTCAAAAAGACAAACAATAAACATTACGAACTAACTAACATTTATGATTTTTGGACTTAAAAGACATTATTTGTGAAACATTTTTCATAATTTTTTGTCTATGTCCATAGTAATTGCATTATGCATCAGGGAGATGTAGG